CTTAGCAAGCTAACCGTAACTGTCAAGTACCAAACACATAAGTGAAAAAAGCAGTAGCTCTACCATCCAGACGAGTTTTATTTAACACAAATATTCAGGCACATACCACCAAATAATTGTACATTTAAATTATCATCAACAGAGGTAACGACAAGTGTAATCACACACACCAACACGGAGCCTTCAGTGACCGGTATTTTTTCCTTCCCTGACGATTTCATGCAATGTTTCAAAAGGATCTGTGATTAAAAAAAGAAAAAATCCACCCCAAACTCACAGAAAACCCCCAAACCCAATCCCATTAACCAGAACCAAACATGAATGACCTGACCTGGGTACAATAAATTTCTCCTTTCTAAACTGTTAAAAAAAAAAATACTCTATTTTACTAAATACTCAGAGACTTTAAGGGAAGTTCCATAGGCTTTGCTCTCTACCCCTTCACTATAAGAGGCAGGGTAGACCGCAAAACATGGGGACAGTTAAGAAAAAGGTACTAATAAAAATCAAGTGTTTTCTCTGTGCACCATTCTATACAAGTTTAAATATAAAAAAATATTAAAATGTTTTGTATATACAAGCATATGCAGTCACAAAAGAGACTGTGTGCTCTCAAAAGAGATGTCTACAACAAATTTTCTTCTGTAATAATACAATGGTATCATTTACCACCTGATTTCAATTATTTAAGCCCTTCATAGTTGCGGTCTTTTTTTGTGACATACAGGAAACATCACATTGCTCAAAAATATAAGTTTATGATCAACATAATCAGTTCTGCCTAGTGCTTTAGTCTGTATCTTTTTGTAAGTAGAGACCAGGCGAAGAACGCGTGCAAGTTGCCCTTGCCTGAGGGGGGAATCACAGCGTACACTTCTTTAAGCTAGAGGTACAGGAAGAACTAACACTACCTGCACCTAAAAGTTTCTTCCACTCTCCCCATTCATTTGGACAATATTTAAAATGCCCTTTTGCTCCAAGGCTATTTAAACAACTTTCAAGAATCTGGACATCTAGGAGACAGTTTCTTTTGATTACTAGGAATGAATATATAGTATGAGAAATGTAACTCCATGTGGGTACAGACTCTTCACAGCTGACCCTTCAGAGACTCAATACTCTTCTCTGATGAGTACAGTTCACTGGTGCTCGTATTTAAAAAGAAAAGGGAGCAAGGCAGTGGCTCTTCATGGCTTATCCATACCACCATGGAATATGAAGTAAAATTTCTATCACTCTGGTTTAAACTTCTGAAGATACTGTTCCTCAATGACATGCTTACTTCTGCTGCAAGCTGACGTACGTCATTAAGTCCTAATAAGCAGTACTGGTTTACTGACTTAGGCTGAGGTGCAAAGACAAATTTGTTCTTAGAATTGCTTTATCTTCTCAGATCTCAGTCTACTTTAGTGCCTTGCATGAAGATGGCAAAAAAGCTGGTGAAAAGTGCATATTTTAACTTTAAAACAGTATAAAATTATTCAGAATGCACATGGCAGCAACAGTAACCTGGGTCTTTAAGAATATTATTTATTTGATTTTGTAAACAACCTCATTTTTAAACAAATTAAAATACATTGCAAAGTCTCTCTTTATATATACACAGTACACATTCAAACTTCACTTCATTGTGATGCCATAGTTTAAGCAGAAAAACAAGAGTTCTTGATCCAAAACTCAGTTAGTTGCACTACAAC